CTTCCAGAAAGGAAATGAAAGCCTGGAAGACCAGCCACGCACCGGTCGTCCTTCGGAGTTTGATAACTCTGCCTTGCAGGAGGCACTGGAGGCCAACAACCGGCAAACATCGCGAGAGCTTGCGGACTTGCTGGGTGTCTCCCATACAACTATCCTTCATCATCTGGCTGAGCTTGGCAAGAAGGCAAAGTTGGGGTGCTGGGTACCCCACAAGCTGGATGATCGGGACCGCCAGCGACGAGTAGACATGGCCATCTCCCTTCTGTCACGTTCGCGCCGAACGGATTGGCTAGACTCAGTGGTGACAGGCGACGAAAAGTGGACCTTCTATGCCAACATTCGACGAAAACGTCAGTGGGTGGACGCCGGAGCATCGGCCGAAAGAGAACCCCGTCAGGAGTTGCACCCCAAAAAGATTATGCTCTCGGTCTTCTGGGATTCGAAAGGCATCATCATGTTTGAGCTGTTGCCGCAAAACACCACCATCACTGCTGCCTACTACTGCCAGCAACTCGATCGGCTGCAGCAGAAACTGGCTGAAACACGCCCAGAAAGACAGAGAACCATCCTCCTCCACGACGATGCCCGGCCGCACACCGCTAGACAGACTCATCTAAAGTTACTGGACCTGTGCTGGGAGGTGCTGCCGCATCCGCCCTACAGCCCCGACCTTGCCCCGTCCGATTATCACCTTTTCGTTGCCCTGGACCGTCACATGGGTGGAAAGCAGTACGCCAACCGAGACGACCTGAAAACCGATTTGGCCAACTTTTTCGTAGCGCAGCCGCCAGAGTTCTATTGGACGCCATCCATAGTTTGCATAAACGTTGGCGTGAAGTGATAGAGGCCAATGGTGATTACATTCATGATTGAGATGATTTTGCTTTTAAGTAAACTGGGTTGTAATAATTGTTCATGAAATTCCGAGAACTTTCTTTCCAATCAGATATAACATGATGTCGAAAGCCACAACGACGTCAGATTTTATATCGACTAGCAAAAACGTCGAATGCCAAACAATATCGAATGGACAATGGTCGAATAGGCATAATGTTGATTGTTACAATACCGAAGGTATCAAAATGTGGACAAATGTCGAATCCTCTGGATGTCGAAATCCGGTTATTATTTTCCATTCCTTGGGGCCTGATATAATCAAGGAGAGGAGATTGCAGTATTTCTTTCTCCTCTGCTCCCTTGAGGCAGCGATACTGCTTTGTCAACTTATGATTTCTCTGCATCAGTAAGCGTTGGCGGAGTTGATTACATTAGTAACAAGCGCACTTCCTCACCAATGCAAATTGCTGAAATGAATGCTTGAAGCGCGAGCGATTAAAATAATCTTGTCAGGATATCCCGCACGAAAGCTGAAGAATCAAGGGAAAAACGCATTCATCAAATTGTTTCTTCTTACTGCGACCCCGAAGTGCGTGATTACTTGCGTGCAGTGGCACATAATATTCAGTTTTGAATGCTGCATGTCAGAGGGTATCACATTCATAACCGCTAATGCCTTTCTTTCTGGAACAAGTGCAGTTTTCCCGTGTTCGGCATAACGAGTTTCTAAGACTTCATTAACAGAATAAATAAAAGTCCATTTCGACTTTTCTCTCTTTCGACATTTTGACTTTCGACATTTTGACTTTCAACATTTCATTCCTTCGCCGTTCAGGAATTCGACATAGTTGGTAATCGACAATCGGACAGTCGACAACGTGTGTTTTCGACATTTTGACGGGATACAATGACAATTGCTGAAAACTTTGTAAGTTTTTATGCGCTTTTATGAAGATGGCGTATGTTCACCACGCTCAAGCGCTAAAATGCTTTGTCATCACCTCTTGGGGAGACTGCTCACCAATGCACCATAGCATTTTGTTCCGGGCATTGGAAGGCCGGGAGCAAGTCGATATGGAAGATCATCCCACATAATTAACTATTGACATCCAAGGACTTCCTCGTTTGTCGTGGGTACCGGAGGCTTCCGAAGGGTGTTCTTCGTCCTTCTGCGGGTCATCCGAAAGCGAACAATGATAATCTTGGGATGATATCGTGAAATCATGGGAGAGGTTAGCTGTGCCATTTAAAGAACGGGTCTAGATACAGAGTTATTAATGGTCTCTCTAGAGTGCATTGAGATTCTTTCAATTTCGAGATCGCACATGCATGTTCATTCATACAGCATGTTCATCGAAAATCATTTATATGCTCTCAAAATTCATGGTAATTGTAAAACGTGCCTCAGTTATTCGCATTTCGTTGTGAAGTCGCAAAATTCGTTCCAATGAATTAAATCAGTAAAGACTCGATGCACATTGCACAAAAACTGCCATGCAAATATATATTTGGAAAAGTTGTTTTACTCTACTCGAGAGTGATAACTATCAGCATATAATTTACGCAAGGTCATTCATAATAAAATTCGTGTTTTTTTTTAAATAGTGAAATAAGTCAGAGAACATTGGGAACAAGTTATCTCTTTCCCTAATACCTTTTTCCGCGTCCAGGCACAATCCTCAACATCACGGCGAAAGTGAAGGAAACTTCCACCCGATGGAACCCGATTCCGGTTCCGGTGGTCAATGCCTCATGATGACCCGGCAGTACGCGGTGGCTCCGTTCTACAGCGGCTACTGGGTCGACTCCTCGTGCACGTCGGCCATCGTGCCGTTCGGCTGTGTCTCGGATGGGTACTTCTGCGAAATCAAGATCCCGAATTGACCGTTTGTGGAGTGGCTCGGTTTTGGCACTTTCAAGGTTCGATGAGGTCCGGGAACGAATTAGCGAACATGTGGCACTTTTTTCACCGTTTTTCTTCTCTTGCATGCGTGGCATCTTTCGGAGAGTTCATAGGAGATGATTATCTCTTAGTTTAGGATGCGAAATTTTGGCATCATAGACGACAAAAACAGAAGCAATTGCTGATCGGATATGTCGTATTTGGTAAGACTGATATATATGGAGAATTTCTGAAAGTTCCATTCGACCAACTGCACAGCGTTTAGCAAACAATGAATAATAAAAAAGTGTTCCAGACGGCATCAAGTTAAAAATTCAGATATGGAAATGCCAGTCCGTTCTGTTTCCGTAGCAGAATATGAACTCCGGATTACTCTAATCTCATCATTCTGATGGATTTGTCCTATGACGTGTTTTGGGTGTTTCGCTTTTAGAAATTGCTTTCTCAGTCTAAAGCAGCTGTATTCATTACTGCATTCCTGTAAAGCTCTTCGTATGCTCGAGATTGTTTTGGAAATAACCACGAATTGCAACTAAAAAAAAGTTTTTGGCCGTACTCTCGTACTTCCTTTTGCACGTGTTCTGCTTTTGCATTCCCATTTGATGCTGTAGACTTGCGAAGTGCTCGTTAATTTGCTTTTTCCCAATGATGGTGTTTTGTGATGAACACGACGATGGCACCTCAGCCTAGAAAATGTAATAAAAAATATGATGCCTTCATTACTTCACCATTACTCAAGCCATGATACCCCAGCTATGATAAATATATTCTTGGACCAATAAACTACAATCGCATGCAAAATATTTCTGGCTTTCATTTAAGGAAAGAAAAAAATCCTAAACGTTGACTTTGAAATCTTAAAACGGCACGTGTATGAAACAAAGAACGGACAGCTAATTCTATTGATGACATTTTCATTGCGAATGATCAACCCATTCCTTGAATGGCGTAAAATATGCGGCAATATATTATGCGTACGGCAGTTTCAGAGACGTTTGGGAGCGAGGAAGTGTGGTTCTTCGCAATGAAGTGTGTCCCGAGGCTGCGCGAAGAATCGCGTTGAAATGTATTTCAATTCGACAAAAAGTTCCCGATTATTTTTCCCCTTCATATCGATGCAAAAATACGATGATTCCACTGCGATGATGAATGCCTCGAGGTAAGGTACCGAAGCAGCATGTTCACGTAAACAAGATATCAATTTTTTGCAAACAATGTAAATTTCTTGAGATTGCCATTTAAATGACTTATGTTTACGTAAAATTTATGTTCCTATATTTACGTCACCAAAGTATTTCATATCAACTAGACATCACTCCATATGACGTTAAGTACATGATATCAAGTTTATGAAAAAATAACACCACACCATCCATATGAAACTTTAGCTGACCATCCTGCAGTTGCAGTACGAAGATTCCTCGCTAGATGGAACCTTTGTTCCCTGCATCCTACAATTACTATTAAGTACTGGTCTTCCTGATATAGTATCAGGTTTTCTTACCATTCTTCCACTTTTTATTATGCAATTTATGAATATATATATGGAAAACATGAAATTAGTATATATATGTTCATAATATATGACAATGTATAATTACATGCCGAAGTGAAGCTTTTCATTTCAGCAGTGCACGGGATTAGGAAAGAGTAGAATCCCGATCCCACAAGTACTATATCTTCTCTATCCTAAACGGAAGAGAGCTCCTATTAACATCTTCTCCTCCTCCCGAGGTTCCGGTACAGGAGGAGTAAGCAGTAGGTCACTTTGGTACTCCTAGAGTGCTGGTGAGGATGAGTGCTCGTGTACTCGTCCAACCACCCTAGAATTCTGAAGAACGTAAAGGAATAGGAGATTCAGTATATCAATTTGCTTCAATGGTACTGGTTGACTCTTTACATACGCATGAATGCCAGGGGAAAATTAACACAAATCTTACGTAAAATGAATGTAAACAAGGGATTTTGGAATGCAAACGGGAAGGTCAATTTTACGTTAAATTTACGTTATTTAATATCACCGTGTACATATCACAGAGGTGACATTTCTGTAAACATGTTGACATTTTCTTCACAATGGTTTGCGTAAAAATGAAATGAAATGGACATAAAATGTACATTCATTTTACGTAAAATTGACATAAACATTCTGTTCGGGTAAACATGAGGGAAAGGACACGATTGCTCACCACGTAAGTACGACGCACGAAGGGAAACAAATGAGTATATTCCAAGGGATATTGTTACATGGGCAAGGGTAATGGGAAGTCGATCCTGGTGTAAACCCATCGGTGGGTTGCCGGGAGACGAATTAACGGCTGGAAGACCAAGGCTTCTTTCGTGCCCAGCACACGCCATTGGGACTCCACAGCGCGAGGAACGTTTGACACGTTGCTGCGATGAGTTACCAGGGGAACCGCCGCCGGCGATGGCCTTCCCAGGCGATTCAGACGCGACTGGCAGGGTGAGTTCAGATCATGATCATCTGAAATTCTAGAGATTCGAAACTGGATGCAATATTCTTCCATCCATAAATTTTCTCATGGGAAGAGAAAAGCCTTCCCTTCGAGATCCGGATGCAATACGTTTCGTTTCCCTTCTAGGTTCATGTGAAAAATGTCAAGCGCTCTCAGTGCCATCTAGTAACAAGTAATGTTGTGTGTCAATGTAGGTGATGAGCAAGTTAAAACCGCCCAGACCATTGCCAGTACACTTTAAAGAAAATAAAGCGTTTTATGGAGTAAAATGTCAACATTATATGAGCTATGTCAAATGCACTTTGAGGTCCCTCAGGAAATGCTCCTTCATCGATCGAATTTTCCTCAATCTCCCCTTCTAAGAAATAAATACAACCACTTTCATTCGTACATGGTGGCTTCCAGTTGCCATCATGGCAGAGAACATTTTGCAATGGCGATGGGCATCTGGGTTGCATCTGTTTCCTGTCGAAAAAGTTTAAAGTTTACGGTTTGTGTGCGATTCAGGACATCCATGCGGATGTCCCGAATCGAGATCGAACATTTATTCATGATTCTATTATAACCGGGTTCTATCAGTGGCAACACTGCCTAGGCCTACCGAAACGCATTTTAGTCGGACTAACTTCAGCCTGATCCTGGGCAAGTGTTACTCTATCCTCTAATCGATACTCCGATATGGAATTTCTCAATGTTGGCTGCGGATCTGTCACAAAGTGCCTGTAGGGTCATGCAACTTCGCTGGGCGCTCTTCGGGTACCAGAATTCTCCATCCCTCTTTCGGGCTACATCTTATGCCTATGGACCATCCACGTGCACACTACAGTCCCCTTCCGTCCACGTTTCATCCTCCAATGGAGACACGCATCCCCGCCGATAAAAATTGGAGGGAACGAGTGGGAACTGGAAACCATATGTTTCAATGATAGTGATTTTATTTGGAAAAGAGACTAAAATCCCTAACTCCAGGTTCATTCCATTTCCATAATGGCAAAGAGCGACTTAGTTCCGCATTCAGAGAAGCAAAATATCCTACGGCAAGAGAAAAAAAACCCTCCCTTTTGTAGGGGAGCTCATTTTGGAACTCATATATCATGGAAAAACACATTTCGTCAGACTGTTGTCTACCCACTGTTTTCAACAGCCCAAACCAACTTTATTTGAGCTTGACAGCCACCTTAAACGCAGATTTGTTGCAAACTATTTGTAAAAGTAAAAAAAATCACTAGAAAGTATGAACGTTAGGAGTTGAATTGATTTTTCTTCGCGTGAATTCCATATCTTTCAAAACACGGAAAATGGGATTACGCAATCCAAAACGGAGGAAATGCGAAATAAGAAATGCGAGATAATGCGAAAAAGCTGATGGTCCTCAGGTCCTCGACATCAAGGAACGAAAGCGAAAACCATGTAAGTGTGAGGATTTGCGTATTTGCATGCCATCCCCATATCTCTCTGAGAGAACTGTTGGTTTTTGAGGAGGGGAGTAGTTTCACTCCCCAGAAAATGGAGAAAATTTATTCAATTCCCAGAGTGATATGGGAGTGAAACTGGAGTTTGCGACTTCGCGCTCTTTTTGGCGAAAAATCGCTCCCATTGCTTGAAGAGTGCATGTTGAGTCATACGAACTGTATGCGCATGGCTCGATGAGATGGAAGCAAATTCAACATGGATGCAGCACCTTCCCGAAGAAATTAGATTGGGGAAAAATTCGGGGAAATGTGACATTTCGCTCCCGTCCCAGATCCCAGCCGAAAAAGGAAATACTTTTCTCTATTAGGATCCATGAAGGTGGAATTAAGACGCGCTCCAAAGGTGATGTAACGTTAACGATCAACAATTTTTTTCTTTGGACAACCGGCAAAAGGACATGAGCTTGTCGGTAGTGTGGAATTTCTCGCAGTCGACGTCATGGACTCGAAGGATCAATAGCTCTTCCAGCAATCAAAGGAGGCTGCTGCATATATGTGTCAACGAAGCTGCTCCTCTCGTGCTCGAATGGCTTGTGAATCCCTATTTACCATTGTTGACATTCGTATGATTGATTTTGCAGCATCTCGCGACCTGGTTTGGAGAAGGCGGACCGTGGGCTTAACATGAACGAATCGAAATCGCAAAACGGGTCCCACACGGCTTCTGGTCAAGGTGCGTTTCAGTTGTATTCATGCATTATTTTTACAAACAGAAAATATGGCATCGTTTTACCCGATACGACGGCCACACCATATGACCGATGCTTAAATATCGGGACGTTTTCTCGGAAATACTTTGGCGCCCACCAATAAGGAAAAATGTGTTCACCTGGCAACTACAAAAGCGACAAACATCTTAGTGTAAGCACTGTTGGAAAGAGAACACAGGTGAAAAGCCGGAATCTTCACGAAAAGCATTTTTAATCTATAGAGTACACTTTTAAAATTTCTATCCAACCAATTCACGAGAAAATAATGCACTGCTCTTCAAAAAATTTTGTCGATCAGGTATAAGCAGTTGCGAAATATAACGGTGACGATCTTCTTCAAAGGGATCCACAGCGTTTCCTTTACGTCAATTGTAGACTCTTGCAGCAGAGATTCCTGAATCATCATTGCCGTCAGGTGGAAAAGAGAGAAGAAAAAAAAACATGCGTAAAAGGAACGACTTGTATGAGAGAAAACCTTATTCGTGGACATACAATTTAGAATACAAATGTCATGTTTACTAATGAGGGAAGTCATGCTTTTGGCGAGGGCAGCGAATGAGATGAAAGGAATCTTCAATTCATTTATATATTGCACGTTCTTCTCTTATTCGTGGACATACAATTTAGAATACAAATGTCATGTTTACTAATGAGGGAAGTCATGCTTTTGGCGAGGGCAGCGAATGAGATGAAAGGAATCTTCAATTCATTTATATATTGCACGTTCTTCCGTTGGCATTCTCTTAATCATAAGGAAAACAATTACATTAAAAAACTATACGAGTTTGCTATATATCCTGACTTCCTTGCATAGTGTTTTTTGGCTATGTATTTTTTGCAGTGCATCCGTGATATTCATTTGTTTCCTTGCGGATGTACTAGGCCATTTTCTGCGTTTCGTTCTAGAACGAACAATTATGAGCCGTGCAATGATAAAATGTGGATGGACTAGAGTTTTTATCATTCGTAATCATCTTAATGTAGCTAAAAACACTGTAAACGTATGCGTTTCGCGAATATATCCTCTACCGATAGCCCCAATAGTCCTAAACTCTCAATGATAAAATGTGGATGGACTAGAGTTTTTATCATTCGTAATCATCTTAATGTAGCTAAAAACACTGTAAACGTATGCGTTTCGCGAATATATCCTCTACCGATAGCCCCAATAGTCCTAAACTCTAATGTAATTCTTCCTCTCCCACATGTGAAGAGGCCCTTATCACGGTCCATTGGACACTCCATAGGACGTCAGGCACCTTCCTCATGATGGGACGGAAGTGACAACCGTGGTTGTGATTTTTCAGAGTCAAGCTTTTCTCTCATGATCGATTTCGGGCTGGAGCGGAGGACGCGCATTGGGAAACTAATATGGATACTCGTGTTATGCACATCAATCTCGCTTACAATTGTTCAGGTTTTTTAACCCTTGATTCTCGTGATTCGTGAGAAAGTTCACCATTAAACTAATTCCGAGCGATGTAACTTTTGACGCTGAACAGGGAAAGGAGTTGATAGACTATTTCATGAGCAATCCGAAGACCCAGAACATTAGGATCGAGCAACAAGACAGCGTGGATTATCCGGAAATCACGGTGTGCCCCGGAACCACCTGGAATTACACTGCGTTGAAGCTCTACAACCTGACCACAGATTTCATTTTTGGCATCCAATCTTTTGACTCGTTGGAATTGTTAAACATGACCTTTTCGGAAGCTCTGGATTTCTTTACTTTGAAGGACTTTTTTGGCATTGTGAGTTCCTGCGTCATCCCAAGCTTTAGCTGGAGTTCAATGATAAAATGTGGATGGACTAGAGTTTTTATCATTCGTAATCATCTTAATGTAGCTAAAAACACTGTAAACGTATGCGTTTCGCGAATATATCCTCTACCGATAGCCCCAATAGTCCTAAACTCCTACTGTAATTCTTCCTCTCCCACATGTGAAGAGGCCCTTATCACGGTCCATTGGACACTCCATAGGACGTCAGGCACCTTCCTCATGATGGGACGGAAGTGACAACCGTGGTTGTGATTTTTCAGAGTCCAGCTTTTCTCCCATGATCGACTTCGGGATGGAGCGGAGGACGCGCATTGGGAAACTAATATGGATACTCGTGTTATGCACATCAATCTCACTTACAATTGTTCAGGTTTTTTAACCCTTGATTCTCGTGATTCGTGAGAAAGTTCACCATTAAACTAATTCCGAGCGATGTAACTTTGGACGCTGAACAGGGAAAGGAGTTGATAGACTATTTCATGAGCAATCCGAAGACCCAGAACATTAGGATCGAGCAACAAGAGAGCGTGGATTATCCGGAAATCACGGTGTGCCCCGGAACCACCTGGAATTACACTGCGTTGAAGCTCTACAACCTGACCACAGATTTCATTTTTGGCATCCAATCTTTTGACTCGTTGGAATTGTTAAACATGACCTTTTCGGAAGCTCTGGATTTCTTTACTTTGAAGGACTTTTTTGGCATTGTGAGTTCCTGCGTCATCCCAAGCTTTAGCTGGAGTGCATTAATCCCCACGGATTGTTTTAATGGTTTCGGCTGGATCTCGGTCAATGGCACATGGTTATACGAGACGGAGGGTAAGTCCGAAAAACATGTTGTTTATCTCATTTATTAATACTTTAAAGCATTATGAATATTAACCTCAGCATTTCTCAGCGGGACAATGGAGAGAGACTCGAATCCTGGATTATGCTCTTGGTTGGCCCCTGAAAGTTTGCTACACTTTTCAAGCTCATAGGGTCTCGATGAGGATTCCCTCTACTTCTCCTGTCATGGAACTCGTCTTGAATTTCCAAGACTTCGATCCCAAAGATGACACCAGGGCATTCTACGAGATTCGCATAGACTCGCAAGAAGACCCGTTCACCATAGCGAGAAATGTCATATCTTCTCCTGTCTGTAAATGGGAGAGCTTCCCATTGTCAATGTACAACTCAAATAAGGAGTTCATGATATCAAAGAACGGAAGTCCTCCTTTCACGTTACCTCTACTCTACTACGATTACCAGAAGGTGATTCAAGACTAATCATATCAGATTCCCAGTTTCCTCCCCTTTCTAGAAAGTTGATGCAATATCGGTTGATGACCCACAGTGCTTGGAATCGGCTCTAACGGAGGAGTTCTTGAAGGAAGCCCCATGTGTCCTGCCTTCAATCCTACCAAACTCACCTGATGCGAAGCCCCGGTGCAACACCTCTGAGGAGGAAAAGCGTGCCTTTGACCACTATGGCAAAACGCAGTACTATTTCAATCCTGGATGTCCGAGGAGATGCAAGAGGGCGACGTATTCTGTGACTCCATTGCAGTTGATGACAAATAACTGGGTCTCAACCTACCTGACGGATCGTAAATCGCAAGTAGTCGGGATCCAGTTCAACATACCAACCGCCGAGGTGAGTTTCTCCAGTTTCTATTGATAAAATCTGCTTTCCATATGATGCCGAAGGCATGGGCAGTAACCAGGAACGGTCCATTGCACATACGAATGACCTAAAACCATACAGAGTCCTACCGTTCGAATAAAAAATTACGTTTTCTAATTCAATTCAGGTGGAAACAGTGGAAGAGCAGGAGCTGACATCGCTACCCCAGTTCCTCTCAGACTTCGGTGGGATGGTCGGGCTCTATCTGGGTTTCTCTATTCTCGGTTTTTATGAGTGCTTGGAAGCTCTCGTCGTTTGGATCAAGTTCAGATTCTTCAGTGGTCGAAGTCGACCTGTACTCCCTTAAATTGGATTACGTGAATAGCCTGCACGAGCCCTTCTCCTGAGTATAAAATACCGGACGGTGAGTCACAACAACCATTAAACTGAAGAAGTGAAAAATATTAACATCATATATTATTCCCAAATCAGTTTGTGATAATCACGTATTAAAATAATAAGATGAATTTGCTTCTGGTTTCTTCCAGGAGAGGTTGTCACAAAAACAGTGATTCCATGACACAGGCCCCGTCTGTGCATTCTGTGTGATTGATGTATATGGACCACCGTGAAAGTGAAATTGGTTTTGCAAGTAAGAGTGCACCTTCATTTTATGAAATGATTCACTATTTGAAAATTTTCCTTATCTGTGATAGAGTTTGCGATGAAACTGCCGAAGCAGCATGTTCACGTAAACAAGTTATCAATTTATTGCAAGCAATGTAAATTTATTGCGATTGCCATGAAAATGACAGTACCTTTACGTAAAATTTACTTTCTTATATTTACGTCACCAAAGTGTACGTGCATTTTACATCAACTAGACGTCACTCCATCTGACGTAAAGTACATGATATCAAGATTTTGAAAAATTAACACCTCACCATTCATATGAAACTTTAGCTGACCATCGCGCAGTTGCAGTACCAAGATTCCTCACTAGATGGAACCCTTGTTCCCTGCATCCTACAATTACCTATGTACCCTTGATGAACATAACATTGAAACAACATTGATCCAACATTGATTAAAAGCTCATTCAATATCTGGACGTCGAACCAACGTTGAATCAAAGCTGTTTCAATGTTCTGGGCTACTATGTTAGGTTGTTTAACTTTTTTGGACTGCCAATGCGGAATTATTTAGAATATGCGGATTTATTAAAATTGTGCTATGAGGAAGCGTTCGACACCAATTTGTTTTCCAGCATTCAGAGAAATTCCAGAGATTGAATGTATACATTAGGTTATTAATGAATACATGTGATCCAGTAGTTCCATTTTTCAATTTCATCCCGTCCTTTGTCCAGAATAAAATGGTTTGCGAAGTCAATCAGTGGAGTGTTTTTTTCATCGAATTTATTATGAGAGTTTCATAAGGTAAAGTGTTGATGGATAGCTTCTTAGGAAATCTAATGTTCCAGAATGTAGAAATCTTGCGAAGGGAAAGGGTGCATCCTGCCATCGCGGCGTTTCCACAGTTCCACCTGGGATTACACAGCATTGAAATTTAATGGGCTGAGAAATTAATGTCCGTCTGATTTGATGACTTATACGGTAGTGCTCGGAGGAGGCAAAAACGGACAAATTCCTATGCAGCATGCGTCCAGTTTTGTCACTTCATTATGAAAGCAATATCACGCAGAGCCACTTTGAACCGACCTTCCACTGATTGAATTCAAAGTAGAGCATTAATTCTCTTGTTCATTTGTAATGATGAAGGTCTTGGAAATATCGGTGGTCGTAAAGACGTGGAAATCTACTATAAATGTCATGCTCAAGCGGAATTTCAAAATTTGACGGTTCTCATTTTCCCTTGTTCGGGACACCACTCATCTACGTTCGTCTAAGTACAATTCGGTTGCATGAATGCGGTAAAAATATAACGAAACAAATTAATTAATTCGCTACATTGTACCACATATGGCCGATCAAAATAGAGAAAATACAAAGTTATTTGAAGACACATCAAAATAAACATGATTCATGGCGATCTTAATCCTACAGTACCGCATGAACCCGTTTCAAGGAAGACCGGGTCCTTTCCTTTCTTCTACATTTTGGAGCATACACGAGATGATGTCGCAGATGAAATTATTCATCCTGTGTATGACCTTGCACAATCCACGCTCGTGGATGGGCGTGGGATCTTATAGGGTCCGACCGCATACATACTCATCATTGAAAACGATTGGGGGAAAGGTACGACCATTATTCATGTACGGACGATGTCAAGGCGTGGTTTATGTGTACAAATTATATATCTACCCCAGGGAACGGTATGATCAGCGTATGCAATCGGAAGGCAATAGTGGAGCGGGGGTTCACCACTTAGCCGGTTGCCTAGAGACGCGTGCGCTCGGTGGAAGAATAGCCGAGACTACAAGCAGAAACCCCCTCTGTTCGGCGAACGAACCAGGTTACGTGTTGAAGATCAGCGGAGTTATGCTCTCGGTAGCAATCGACGTCTGTGATTCGTGATTGTTTGTGAGGTTAGACATATTCCAAGTATTCGAAAGTGTTCGAATATTCCTCGTATAGGATGAGAGAAAATCTGTTACCTCGTGATCCAGAAAGTGCTTATCCTCCCCCCCCCCCTCTCCCCATACAAAACAAGACATACAAGGAACACTACCCAAGTGATAATTTCAGATTTTCACCATACTTTGGTCATTGAAAGGGCTTTCAAAACGAAGTCAAACGGCACAAACACTTGTGGCTGAGAAACAGATTTTAGGCTCATAACTGGCTCTCTCAATTTTCAGTGATACATGATTATTATAGTCACAGTCCAGTTTTCTTTGACTATGACATTTCAAGGGAATCTCAGATTCAAGTGATATTTGACAGAGATGTTCTCGAGTGAAGGTTTTTTTCCATCCCGCTAGGTGGCGCTGCATGCCGAAAGAGGGCGATGATGTCGACAGCAGCGCCACCTATCCACTTGCTGTCATTTATAGCCACTGGAAAAAAAATTAGTTCTGGCATATGAATATCTCTGCCAATTATCAGCTGCATTCGAGAGTTCCTTCATAAGATATGGCCAAACAAAGTTGAGTTTTGACTTAACAATTGAATTTTTTGGTCATACATTTTTTTAGAAAAAGTCAGATACAGGTGGTATTTGACAGATGTCAATGACATGACTTATTCATTCCCTTACCCAGCACAAGGTCCCTCATGTTAACAGGTGGCGCTGTGATGGCATATGCAAAGGTAAGAGACGGAGAATAGGAATTTCCTATACATGGGAATACATCCAGCATTCACTTCATTTCCAACAAGAGAAGATGAAACTCTCAGTGCAGTAACATCGCATGTTGATGTGCTCTTACTACGTCCGTAGTAAAACATAACCTTGAATCGACATTGATTCAACGTTAGTTCAATGTCTGGATGTTGAATCAGNTATTGCAAGCAATGTAAATTTATTGCGATTGCCATGAAAATGACAGTACCTTTACGTAAAATTTACTTTCTTATATTTACGTCACCAAAGTGTACGTGCATTTTACATCAACTAGACGTCACTCCATCTGACGTAAAGTACATGATATCAAGATTTTGAAAAATTAACACCTCACCATTCATATGAAACTTTAGCTGACCATCGCGCAGTTGCAGTACCAAGATTCCTCACTAGATGGAACCCTTGTTCCCTGCATCCTACAATTACCTATGTACCCTTGAGGAACATAACATTGAAACAACATTGATCCAACATTGATTAAAATCTCATTCAATATCTGGACGTCGAACCAACGTTGAATCAATGCTGTTTCAATGTTCTGGGCTACTATGTTAGGTTGTTTAACCTTTTTGGACTGCCAATGCGGAATTATATAGAATATGCGGAATTATTAAAATTGTGCCACGCGGAAGCGTTCGACACCAATTTGTTTTCCACCATTCAGAGAATTTCCAGAGATTGAACGTATACATTAGGTTATTAATGAATACATGTGATCCAGTAGATCCATTTTTCAATTTCATCCCGTCCTTTGTCCAGAATAAAATGGTTTGCGAAGTCAATCAGTGGAGTGTTTTTTTCATCGAATTTATTATGAGAGTTTCATAAGGTAAAGTGTTGATGGATAGCTTCTTAGGAAATCTAATGTTCCAGAATGTAGAAATCTTGCGAAGGGAAAGGGTGCATCCTGCCATCGCCGCGTTTCCACAGTTCCACCTGGGATTACACAGCATTGAAATTTAATGGGCTGAGAAATTACTGTCCGTCTGATTTGATGACTTATACGGTAGTGCTCGGAGGAGGCAAAAACGGACAAATTCCTATGCAGCATGCGTCCAGTTTTGTCACTTCATGATGAAAGCAATATCACGCAGAGCCATTTTGAACCGACCTTCCACTGATTGAATTCAAAGTAGAGCATTAATTCTCTCGTTCATATGTAATGATTAAGGTCTTGGAAATATCGGTGGTCGTAAAGACGTGGAAATCTACTGTAAATGTCATGCTCAAGCGGATTTTCAAAATTTGACGGTTCTCATTTTCCCTTGTTCGGGACACCACTCATCTACGTTCGTCTAAGTACAATTCGGTTGCATGAATGCGGTAAAAATATAACGAAACAAATTAATTAATTCGCTACATTGTACCACATTATGGCCGATCAAAATAGAGAAAATACAAAGTTATTTGAAGACACATCAAAATAAACATGATTCATGGCGATCTTAATCCTACAGTACCGCATGAACCCGTTTTAAGGAAGACCGGGTCCTTTCCTTACTTCTACATTTTGGAGCATACACGAGATGATGTCGCAGATGAAATTATTCATCCTGTGTATGACCTTGCACAATCCACGCTCGTGGATGGGCGTGGGATCTTATAGGGTCCGACCCCATACATACTCATCATTGAAAACGATTGGGGGAAACGTACGACCATTATTCATGTACGGACGATGTCAAGGCGTGGTTTATGTGTACAAATTATATATCTACCCCAGGGAACGATATGATCAGCGTATGCAATCGAAAGGCAATAGCGGAGCTGGGAGTCCACCACTTAGCCGGTTGCCTAGAGACGCGTGCGCTCGGTGGAAGAATAGCCGCGACTACATGCAGAAACCCCCTCTGTTCGGCGAACGAACCAGGTTACGTGTTGAAGATCAGCGGAGTTATGCTCTCGGTAGCAATCGACGTCTGTGATTCGTGATTGTTTGTGAGGTTTGACATATTCCAAGTATTCGAAAGTGTTCGAATATTCCTCGTATAGGATGAGAGAAAATCTGTTACCTCGTGATCCAGAAAGTGCTTATCCTCCCCCCCCCCTCTCCCCATACAAAACAAGACATACAAGGAACACTACCCAAGTGATAATTTCAGATTTTCACCATACTTTGGTCATTGAAAGGGCTCTCAAAACGAAGTCAAACGGCACAAACACTTGTGGCTGAGAAACAGATTTTAGGCTCATAACTGGCTCTCTCAATTTTCAGTGATACATGATTATTATAGTCACAGCCCAGTTTTCTTTGACTATGATATTTCAAGGGAATCTCAGATTCAAGTGATATTTGACAGAGATGTTCTCGAGTGAAGGTTTTTTTTCCATCCCGCTAGGTGGCGCTGCATGCCAATAGAGGGCGATGATGTCGACAGCAGCGCCACCTATCCACTTGCTGTAATTTATAGCCACTGGAAAAAAAAAATTAGTTCTGGCATATGAATCTCTCTGCCAATTATCAGCTGCATTCGAGAGTTCCTTTAGAAGATATGGCCAAAGTTGGATTTTGACTTAACAATTGAATTTTTTGGTCATACATTTTTAAGAAAAAGTCAGATACTGGTGGTATTTGGCAGATGTTAATGACATGACTTATTCATTCCCTTACCCAGCACAAGGTTCCTCATGTTAACAGGTGGTGCTGTGATGGCATATGCAAAGGTAAGAGACGGAGAATGGGAATTTCCTATACATAGGAATACATCCAGCATTCACTTCATTTCCACCAAGAGAAGATGAAACTCTCAGTGCAGTAACATCGCATGTTGATGTGCTCTTACTACGTCCGTAGTAAAACATAACCTTGAATCGACATTGATTCAACGTTAGTTCAATGTCTGGATGTTGAATCAGCGCTGAAGCAATGTTGTTTCAATGGTATGTACTACTAGGAGTATTACCAACAAATTCTGTAAGCAGAGCCCTCGTGCTTCTTCACATTTCTCCTTCCTGTTTCCAATCACTGCGCCCTCTGTCAATGGGTACCAATATGTGCTGGGCAAGAGAACGAATAGGTCATAGACACAATAACATCTCTTCCAAATATCAGCTGCATCTGTCTTTTCCTTAAAAAGTTATGACCAAAAAAGTTCAATTGTTAAGTCAAAATCCAACTTTGCTTGACCATACCTTTTGAAGGAACTCTCGGATGCAGCTGATAAATGGCAGTGGGTTTCATAGGCCTGAAATAATTTTTCCAATAATGACCAAAGTTTGGAGAAAATCTGAAATTATCACTTGGGTAGTGTCCCTTGTTAGTTGTGGAACTCAGTCTGGTAAGGACTCCATTTAAGGGCTATTGATTCACGAACAAGAGAGACTAATCATTCCCTTGATCGACTTTGTTATCTATCCTAAGGATATTAAACTTTATTCGTTGCCACAGGTCTCTTTCCAAATGGGCGCATTTTCCTTTCCTTCCCTTAGGATATTGAAACGACAATTCTTACCGGCTTCAAAGTTGACATGATGCAGTCATAAACACCCTGACCCAAGATACAATGGAAACCATTGGCGATTCCGCTGAGAAGGAAGGCTCCCTCAAACGCGAAGTGATGGATTTGATGAGGAAAGTGGAGGTCTTGCAACAGTCCATCCTTTCCATGAAAACGTGGGAACTCTTTCTCCAAAGAGTTTGCAGCAAGTTTCTTCCATTTGAATTACACTGATTCATATGACTGAATTCACAGAATGGCCTGGCGCAGTACGAGCCAAGTAAACACTGGAGTGAACGGGAGCGCCGGTAAGCTTCAAGACATATCCAACATGGTTTCTGGACAAGGTATGTCCAATACCGACATATTCCGCGTTTTTAAAAGGGCCACACCCGATATGCACGACTAAGGTATTTTACCGTCTTTTCGAGAATTAACGGTTAATTAATTAAGGTCCGGATTAAAAGTCAACTTTTTTCAGTTTCCTACTTTTAGCTTACAAAGGGAGGTCTGCCTGACACATGAATGAAACCAAAATTAAGATAAATGAAATTATGTATAAAAAAAGAACTGGAATCAACAATATTGAGTAACAGGTACGATGAACGTTTCCTAAGAAAGCATACCTTTACTACTATCAAAACTATTACTACCTAGGTATTCCTCCTATATTTAGCCGATGGCAAAATACCGCATTTGAGATGTATATGAATCATGTGTAAATTCCTAATCAAAATCAAGTGGCATTTGTCCCTCAAATGAATTATAAGGCAGTCCGTTTGGGTTATCCTGGAGAGGTTCTACCTGGAGCGATGGTCTATTACTGCCTCCAGTGTTTTCAAGCATGAAAAGTAAAGTCCGTGACAGTGATGGACATAGACTGGAAAAACACTTGGAACATAACGCAGAATATGAATTTCACAAAGGTGCATGAGGAAACACTGGCTTGGGAAAGTAGGCCTCACATCATCGAACCGTACAACCCTGTACAACACGTCAGGGACCGTTTATACGATGAGTCGATAATGACAACCGTCGTTCTGATTACCTTGCAGGACCAACGGCTTCTCCAATGAGCGATTTTGGGATCTCACGAAGGTCGGGGATCATGAAAATTCTCTGGATTCTCTTATTATTCACAGCGGTCTCGCTCACAATTATTCAGGTTGTCAACTCTCTTCGCGCATGGAAATGCTCATGCGTGAGTCCATTTTTTTCCGGATTATAAAACTTTTGGTGTCGAGCAGGCGAAAGGGCTGTTCGACTACTTCACGAGCAACCCATTGGCCCAGAACATACGTATCGAAGGACGAGCCAGCGCGGATTTTCCTGAAATCACGGTGTGTCCCGGTGTCACGTGGAATTACACCGCACTCAAGCTCCTTGGCCTGACCCTGGATGAAGCTCATTACTATATTTGGAGTGGTTCGGTTCAGAAGTACTTGAACATGAGCTTCTTGGAAGCGCTGGATTTCTTTTCGATGAAAGACTTCACTAAAATCGTTACCGACTGTACTATCTATCCCCATAAATGTTCTTTATTTTATGATACTGATTGGACCTGGATAAACGGTAGTCGAGTGTACCAGACCGATGGTAAGTCCGGTAAAAAAAAGTATATATATATATATATTTTTTATTTATTTAAAAAGAACACGTGTAAATTCATATGAACATTTCTCAGCGGGATACTGGAGAGAATCGCGGATCCTGAATTCGCCCTATGATTGGCCAATGAAAGTTTGCTACTCCTTCCATGCTAATTCGATGCTTCGAATGGCACTTCCTTCCACGTCCTCTGTCATGGACCTCACCTTGAATTTTAAAGACTTCGATCCCGAGTATATTCTCAAGAGGTCCTTCGGAACCTTCTACGAGATTCGCATAGACTCGCAGGAGGATCCGTTCACAGCAGTGAGGAATGTCACATCTTCGGGGCAGACTTTTTTCCTCTCGACTGGAAGCAGTTACATGCTGAGTCTGTCCCTGACGTACTACAATTTCTTGCCTTCTGGAGGGAAGTGCAATGCTGATGAGAACTACGACTATCAAAAGGTAATTGGGGATAACCATCTCATCCTCCAGTTCCAAACCATTTCTAGAGAGGTGATCTCGCATTTACGAATCGATGATCCGCAGTGCTTGGAAACGGCACTAACGGAGAACTTCTTGAAGGAAGGCCCATGTGCGAAGCCTTCAGTGTTACCAAGTACACAACACCTGGCAGACATGAAGCCCCAGTGCAACACCTCCGAGGACGAAAAGAATTTGTTCAACTACTACAACGATGTGCAGCATTCTTACGATCCTGGGTGTTTGAGGAAATGCAGGAGGACGACGTATAAGGTGATCCCATTCCAAGAGGCAGCCCTTCCTCCTAACACGCAGGGAGGTGTGATCAGGTTGAACACCCCAATAGCAGAAGTGAGTCATTCATTTAAAAAATGGGAAATTTGTATTACGTAGTTTGTCAACGGAAAGGGCAGCAAGTAACAATTACCATGAGGCATACTCTAATGACCTTTGTCGGCGAAATATGCCAATAATTCTGAGCTATAAGGTCCGAATGAAAAAAGTCCTATAATGCGTCGCAGGCGGAGATACTGGAAGAGCAGGAGCTAACATCGCTGGTCCAGTTTCTCTCCGACTTCGGAGGGATGATCGGGCTCTATCTGGGATTCTCACTTCTCACGGTCTACGAATTCTTCGAAGCGGTCGTCGTTTGGGTCAAGCCCCGATTCTTTAATGCCCAAGCGGGACTCGTTCATCCATAATTAGTTAAGTAAATGGGCTGGGTGACCCTCATCCAACGCATGTATGCCGGACGAGAAGCAACAAGGAAGATCGGAATTGAACCTGTTGAAATATGAGACGCCTTCTTTATTGCATGATATTTCAATTATTGCAAAATAATATAATCTGAAACTGCTTCCAGCTTCATGCGTCAAATGTAATGGCATTACAATCCCCGTCTACATTACCCGTTCATCATCTGTAAATATGACGGATTTTTGACCGCAACTGCGAAAGTTGAACTGACTTTCCTTTGGAAAAGATGAAGGAATTGAGCATTTTAAAAATTATTTAGAAATTTGGGTTGTGTATACTTGTGCAATGGTCAGCTTGAAAACTGTGAAACATTTAGAATGTGAGGATTTGAAAACATTTGTTTTAGAAAATCATTCGTTTTTTTAATTGCATACTTCCGGTGGAAATATGAAAGCAACACACGTGGGCCGGAGAAAAAGCTCCAGGGACCGGCTTTTGAACGAGAAAACGATGCATTGAAGGTTAGGTTTCAGTATAACTCGCTTCGAAATAATTCCCTAGCCTGGCAATATATATTTCTTCCCACGTTGGTAAAGAGGTTATAAATCTGACTATACCCCTTTCCCGGCAATCAACTTCAACTGCTTCACAGAAGCTAACTGCAGAGCGTTTAGTGTCGCTGGAGCTGAGGCCTCTCACAAGCAACGTCATTCAACAAAACAGGATTAAGTTACAAGTCGCCAGGTCCAGTGGAAAGATATAGAAGAAATGTCACTCCGTGACTGGTTAGAAAATCGACTTTTCTGCCATTTTACAATATTTACATTGAATGCTGGCGGCCGCTGCAGAGAAGCTCAAGAAAGGTTCTGCACAATCTCCTCGTTAAGGCTTAACGATGGCCTTCCACTGGGTTCTCAATCCCCAAGGGACTCCTGCCCGTCGTAAAATCGACCTTGCCACTCGCACACATGCGAAAATTATGACATGGACAAGCCGTAATAACGAAGCAGCCCAGCCCCATTCCGAGCTTGTACGCCGTGAAAACCTGCAGACAGTACCCTTATGGCTTCAAGGCTCCGCCTAGAATCAAGTTCTTTCTGGAAGGCCGTTGTTTCGACTTGTTGAAGTTGCTTGCCAAGGGTGGACTACCGCAAAATGTTACAGGCTCTTTACGAACTGGGAGAGAAGTTTCTCTCAAGCCGAATAAATTATTTATGGGAAGATTATCATTAAACCAAGATTATGTTAAACGTTTTCTCGTACGAAGAGGGGTATTAGAACTCTTCGAGAGGAACTCGCATTTATTTAATTACGAAATCTCCTTATTCATAAGATCGACTGGATTTGTTATGCATAACATATGCACTACGTATTTGTCTCCTGGAATTATTTGGTCTACTTAATATTCCTACAGTTTGCTTCACAGTTTATTTTGCATTATTAACGAGGGAAATACAAGAATCTTTAAGTAAGCGAGTACGCGCTCGACGGCAATTCCATTATGGATATGGGTATGGACTGCGAATTTGCTGTACGCTTCGAGTTATTCCATGACATTACTGTACGGACACTTTGGATGTATATATTACGTGTCGTTCCAGAAGTGCTACCTTCATCCCAGTGCTAGTGATGCATTCGGTATCATCCTACTTTCTTGAAATCCTTGCAGCGTGTTTATGTACGATCTCTGCGTCATCGGGAGAAAGCGAGAGGTAACAAATTTGTTTTTTGACGCATTTCATATAAACCATCGCGATTTTCTTTCCTGTTCATTATTGGGAGCAATTTGAACCAACCGAACACGTGCTGTTAATGGTAGATATCCTTCCTCATCGCATTTAAAATGACGAAACTTCTCAATACCCTCGGAATAATAAAATCTATTGAAGCAAATCTCACAGTGCCTATACCCAGGAATGGGTTTTATTCCAATCATTGTGGTACTATATCAGAAATGGGCATCTTTTGTTAGGCAACTTTAACGCGATGCTTTCGCACCGCTTCCAATTTCCTTTCAACGTTTCAAAATATGTTGGAATGTGCATATTTACAACCTAAGGAAATAAAAACGTGTATTTATTTTTCAAGGGACGAAGTGAATGCCCTGCTTCTTTCCATTTCAAAACTATGCAACACTCGGTAAATTACGCCCCTAGAGACTATGCAAGACTATGCATGGAGATGATACGAAACGGTACCGTGCCAGGAAATAGGCGATGCATTTACAGGATTTTCATGGAGGAATTAGTTGACCGTGAAACATGTAAATCAAAATATGCATCGTTCTCACGAAATGAAGCTCTGAAATCATTGATCATGCTTTCATGTATCCTATTTGTATATAACATAACATTTCACATGGAAAATGAATTTAAATGAAAAATTCGGAGAAACCGGTTCAGTGAAAAGATCTTACAAGATCCTATGATATATTTTAAGCATATAAATATTACTGGAATATCATAGGAATCCTATAAGAATCCTGCGCCATTTTCATGTTTCAAGAAATTCATAGAATCGTATATGATATTTCCGTAAGGGAGAGCAATTGGTGGTTTCACGGTAAATTAACGGGAATACGCACGAGGAAGCGAACAAAAAAGAATAATTATGGCTGATACTTACGAGCAAAGATATCGAGCGTCTTGCCCAGTACTTCACCCTCTATACCGCTACTGCCCTACTCACTCATGAAATAATAGTGCACTCTACGTTTATGGACGGTTCCCTCGGTTTTTTCTGCCTCGCCTGTGTCCATGTGGGGAATGATTAACTGAGACAACATTGGCCGCACGAGCAGCAATTGTTTCAAAGAACTGGGCGTATTATTGCAAAAATGGCCTCGCTGCACAAGCCATCCTCTCGATTTTACGATGCCAATTCGCGACACGACATCGATTGAACGAGGTACACCGTCTCACCTGTAACCATGCAAATCCTGGATGACAGGAGCAGCCGAGGTATAGCTTCACAACAAATTCTCCACAAAGCCACAGGAACCGAGGACATACTGTGAATGCCGGCCAGTAGGAGTATGTCTTCCTCCTAGCTCCTTCGCCAGTCCCTCAGATACGCGATACGAGACAGCAGACATTACTCGTCAAAAGTCTCCCACCCATCGAAAGTTCCAGAACATTCTGGAACCTCCAAAGGAGGTTCTGGAACCACCTTTAAAGGGCAGCGCTGGTCGAGCGCCGATCAGACAGAGGATGTTCCCTGGGCGCTAGCTTAGAGAATCACTTGTGTATTATGGCTGCACCCCTCCATCAGCGGGACGGGTTCAGCTTCCTTTCTTGCCATCCGTTGGGCCGAAATCGCGGTGTGGCGAAAGTGATCACGTTGAAAGAGAGGTACTGAAGTATTTACTAGATAGATGGAAGGAAACCGGACTTATTTGACGCGCTTTGGACGACTGCGTGCAACAACGCCGAAAAACGATGAAGGTCATTTCGCTGTATGATAAAGAAATGCCGAGCCATGAACGAGCCGCGACATCGAGAACCGGTTTAAAAGGAAAAAATGCAGAAATCAGCCTGAGCACAAGTCGGAGCTGATCGAATGAAGCAGGGGCAAAATCCTTACCAGACTCCTATTGCACTTTGCTATCGTCGATTGGGCTGGCAAGAGCTCGAGTTCCTTATCAATAGTAAAGTTTACAGTGTACAATTTACGGCTTAATTTACGTTTACCGTTGAAAAATGAAAATGAAGCAATTTATATTTTCTTTTTTTTACTAATGTTTCCTCCAACATGCAGTTCCCCAGAAAATATCTCTCAGAGCACAGCAAAATAAGATTTCCAAATTTACTTTAAGGATCTAGTACACGATGAAAGCTATTGCAGAACTATCCAGTACCTTCGTCGCGATATGTTGAACGCCATCTCGCAAGTGTTGCGGGAAATTACTTTTTTTATAGCAGGAACCGCTAGATGTCAGGGAAACTTGCTGGCTTCCCCATTCAAGCACGCAATCATACGAGCGTGCATAAAACATCCGCTTACGGTTGCGATCCGACGTGCCCCATACATCCCATCGCATGTCTGTCGGACAAGGAAGACGAAAAGAGGAATTTCCCACGGATTCGAACCCCAGTCCCCTGTCGACGACCCGTGCTCGCTGCCTATCGTGGCACTCGCTTCTTCCGGGGGATATCCGTGGGATGTCCAGCATAGACCATGCCTGTGGATGTGAGGATGAAAGGTGTGTGTTCGTTGATTATTGCCACCAAGGAAATTCTCTGCATTTCTGATATTACTACATCATGTAATCCACGTTTTGCAGAATCACTGGAAACTCATGAAATTGACGTGAAACACTTTTCGTCCGAACGCAAACGTGTGACTCTTTGAGCCAAGGAAGGGAACGATGTGAGAAAACAGGAATTCATTGTCGTGCAAATTTTCAAAATGTTGTGCCTTTCGTTTTTCCGTCTTTGGGGTATTTATCATAAACTTTGCCTGAACAGAAAACGACGTTATAACTCAGGGTGGTGAATACTTCCGCGCATTATAGCTTACTTTACAGGGAATTGAGGAGCTCTTTGGAAAAAAGGGCATATGTGTCCATACAGGCATATGGGCACATACGCCCTTTTTCCAGAGAACTCCCCAATTGCAGCAACTGCATTAGAAATGTATGCGAATTTTGCTAACACGGTGGATTTCGCTTCATTTGGACTCATCAGTTTCAATTCGTTTGCCCCAATTATATTGCTCTCCGATATTTCAACACTTTAGTAAAGAAGCATCAAACTAATAAGTAACCCAAATGAAAATGCAAAAACAAGCACTTGGATTTTACAAATTTCCTTAGTTGCTATTTGGCACGTGAAAGAGATTATTTTTCTAAAGAGCACATGAGCACACGTGTCAGAGCAGTACGTGCGACACACAGACTTTGTTCAATAAAGTAGCACTGAAGGATGTCCATCGAGAGCCTGTCATTTACGCGAGTCTTCTTAGTTATCGACTGAGGCTATTGGTCCGCGTCGTCGCATCAGCGAGG